ACTGAGAACCCCACAGAGGGGTCTCAAGGCCCCCGAGCAGCTGCAGGCCAGGCAGGGAGCAAGTGCCACAAAGAGCTGAATGATGGCTCATCACTGGATATTAAAGTGACTTCTCAAAATCCCTGCCACTTCCTTGCAGACCCAATGTAACAGTCAGTTCTCTGTTGTCTGTTGATCAAGTTATGCCATGTTTAAAAAGGGGCTGGCTTGGTGCAGCCTTACGACCACCCTCCCTCCTCCGGGCCAGTACCACTCAGATGTCTGGGCACAGCAATCTGCTTGCTGGCAGCACATTAGCCCAGAGATGCCCCGTTTTTTTTCAGTGTGGCCTGTGCCTGTAAGTACAGGCTGCATGCAGTTTTAATGAACAACAGTGGTGAAGTACATTTAAAAGTATAGATTTTCAGCAGCAATACAGATGTTGAAGGGGGAGAAAAAGCCAAACCCCATTTAATTAATTTTATTCCTTCTGAAGTGCACAGTTATCAGCCTGGTGCTTGTCATCGATCAGTTTTGATTAAGTAGCTGAGAGTTTTGTTTTCCTAATGCCTGAAAGTCTTAAAAGAACAGTGGATTGTGTTCATTTCTGCCTTCAGGTTTAAGAAAATGCTTTCCTAGAACTGCCATCACCTGAAGATGGGCCTCAGGGCCACACATTCGGGTTCACAAATTCTGGGGATCCATGGAACCATAAGCTTTGACATTCAGAATGTCCCTGCTGCTGGACCCCCAAAAATGACCCCCAAACCTGCGAGAATGGCTCCTATTCATCCAAACGTGCTAATCACTTTTGAAACTCTGACTCTATTTCTACTGAGTAGCTCTGGGATTCTCTGAAATATGGGATCGTTCTGAGCTGGGGCGTCTCATCAATGGGAAATGAGTCTCTGGGCGTCATCTGCTCCATCCTCACTCCCTGATCGAGTCTGAAAGTCTACATGTCCTGGAACAAACCCGAATATATCTTCCCCAAACTTCTCCCGCAAAGCTTCATGTTCTCTGTGTTCAGATTGCTTCAGGAAAAAAAATGTGATGAATCACAGGGATCCAATACCTTGGCATCTCTTGGTACTGAGAAAGTATTTCAGTGAGTCTGTCTGACAAGTATCTTCCACCCAGGAAAGGGATAGACACAAGAATGAAGAAAAGAAACGATCTTGATGACAGACTCTAATACACTCTGTCACAAGCCCAGGCTACAAAGTTTGCAGTGCAGACTCTCACGTTGGTTAAGGCTCTCTTGACTTGAAGAACTGTTGAAACCTCCTTCCTCCCTCTTTCCCTGCAGGTCCACTGCCCACAAAAGGCCTTATTAGCTTTTCGCATTTCAGCACAGCTTCTCACATACTTTACTGGAAGGGGACAAGGCCCTATGAGACTAAGCGCATAAGAACATTAAGTAAAACAAAATGCTTGATTAAAAATGTCAAGTGGACAGCTGAGGGTCAGGTGGGACATTTCTGGCCTGAAGGCTCTATGTATATACCTATAAAAAAAAGATCCATAAAGAGCCCAGGTGGGGAATTGAAAACATATGTAATGGAGATTACAAGTTTCAGGGTGCCACTACCTGAATTTCTTTAAGCTTGTTTGATGTCTTTCAGATGCAGGCACGGGGACCCGTAGTTCTTTCCAATGCCTGGTCCAATTTCAGCTAACATTCAGGGCCTCTGGGCACCGGGCACTCTGTTCAGAACTTCCCTTTAAACTGCAAGCAGTCCTCTGAGGAAGGGATTATTAATCCCCTCCATTTTTTTCCCAGGTAGTTTTAAGCTTTAATCTTCTTTGTAGGTAACAGAAGTAATGAGTTTTGAAACAGAAGAGAATTTTTTTTTAATGTTTAATATATTTGACTCAATGGCAAATTGTTTATTTGTCCTGGAAAAATCTTACTGTTCATTTTTCTCTTTATGATTTTTCTGACTGCTACAAAGAACAAAATCACCTGCCAATTTCACATTTGCTCATTTCTACTGCAATGGGTAAGGCCACTTTGCATACTGTTTGCTGTTTGGACAGTCACTTAATCCCCTTTTATTGATGAATGGGTTGGGGGAAAGGGAGGGTCTTCAAGGCCAGCATTCTTTTTTTTCTTTTTCAAACCTCAGCACTTCCTAACTGCCAGGTGATACTGTTTAAATTTGTACAGTCTTGGGGAGAAAGGTTCCTCATAGCGTAGTTCTCAAACGTCAGTGTGTGTAAGTCACTTGAGAAATGTGACAAGCAGGTTTGGGGTTCCCACCACCCAGGTGTCTGATCCAGAAGAACAGCAGATCAGGCACCTTGGTGAGCTTGGGGTCTTCACACCTGAGATTTCCCAGCAGCAGCCCTTCCTCTGTCCCCAGGCAGACATGATCCACCTCTCCCCTGTTTTGGAAGCTCCTCCCGGGATCTTCTGATCCGGTGCTGAAACCGGAAGCGACTCCTACAACTTCCCAGGCTCGGCAAGAGAGAGAAAAAGAGAATAAAGAGCAAGCAGAACTCCTCCACTCCTTCTAGGTCCAGTGCAAAAGGAGTGACCTTTGCACGTCTCTTGTGTAACACACCCTTTCCCACCTTTTCTGCAGATGGGAGCGGGAGCAGCGGGGCTCGGCATTCCGCAGCAAGTGCGGCTGTGACCATAATCCTCTAAGAAGGAGAGTTTACGAGTCTGTCTCTGGCATTTAAAATTAATATACTTATTAAGAGAGCAGGAGAGTGCTTTCAGGGTAAATGTCTTTTTATTTTTTTCCCCAGGGCGAAGGCCACTTAGCTCAGATTCCAAGTCAGCTGACTTCAAGGAGCCTTGGGATGTTCAGGGCTTAACTGTACAGGAAGAACATGCTCTGCACACAGCCGGGCTGCATTTTCTCACAGTGGGTTCCGGCTCCGCCCCAAGGGTCTCTGGGCAGATCGCTGCCAAGCCCTTTCTGACCCAGAATCCAGCCTCTTCCAGCTGTGTTCTCCTTGCTTCTGGTCTGCCTGGGCACTCATCCTCCGGGCATCCTCCAGCCATTCCTCTATCCTTCCACTCTTCCTTTACCCAGTCAGTCATAGTATTCATGCTTTCATTCACTAGTTTACTGAGCCCTTTCAGCATACCAGGCAATGGAGAGCACATGAATAATACATATCCCCACTGTTAAGAGCTCACACTTCAGGAAATCTGCTTCAAAGGTAGAGAGAGATATCATGCCAAAACTCTAGTTGAGATTTTACTCTCTTGTCAAGCTATCAAACTCCTACGCATCAGTCAAAACCCTACTTAAATATGCCCAACCTACAAAACTCCTGCCTACTGGCCACCCAAGATCAGACATTTCCCCTGTGCTTATAGCACGTGGCTGTATTTCATGGTTATTTCAGCCCCTGTCATTAGTATGAGTATCTGTCTCCTCCTCTGCCTGTGAGGCTTTCCTAAGTGTGTGTCCTTAGCTGAGCCCAGCACCTGCTGTAGAACAGGTTAGTGACTTTCCAACTTTTATGAACCTAAAAACCTCCTGGAAAAGTTGTTAAAAGTACGGACCCCCTGTCCCACCCCTAGGAGATCAGATTCAGTAGGTCTGAGATTGAGGCTCAGGGATTTGTGTTTTTCAAAAGTTTCTCAGGTGATTCTGGTGCAATTCTGATCTACAGACCACACTTTGATAAACTCTAAGCCAGTGTCCCAGTCTTCCCTGGTGACTCAGTGGTAAAGCATCTGCCTGCCAAGCAGGAAATGCAGGTTCGATCCCCGGATCAGGAAGATCCCCTGGAGAAGGAAATGGCAGCCCACTCCAGTGGGTTTGGGAAATCCCATGGATAGAGGAGCCTGGCGAGCTATAGTCCAGGAGGTCACAAGCATCAGATATGACTTAGCAACTAAACAACAGCAAATGCCAGTGTCTCAATAAAAATTTTTAATAAGTGAATGAAAACCCCCAAAGTTATAGGTCAACAAAAAAGTTCATGATTGTAATAAGGTCTGTGGATTTTACCGGTGTGCTTTTCCTAGCTTGGAAACTGTACACAGGTATGTAAAGTATTAGCATTAAGGATAACTGGGTAAACCGTATGTGGGAGCTCCTTGATTATTTTTGTAACGTCCTATAAATTCATAATTATTACAAACTAAAAAGTCTTTTTAAATGTCACATGGTTTTCCAAAACCTCAAGGATGTGTGGTTGTAATTTGCTCCAAATCTATCTTCCAATCTTTCACCCTATTCTCTAGAGATATCAACAATCCACACATTGTCTGCTGAGTACAATTAATCACATACTTAATTATTATACAATTAATTCTCTATTATTAATAAAATGTACTTCATCTTTGCTTAATTTCTCAATAGCCTCCAAAATAATCTTACGATAAATATTTACGTTTTAAGTAAAGCACACTAAAATGACTGGGGTACTGGGGATGTTGAGGACAATTCTTTTCTTTTTTAGACTTTTTATTTATTTATTAATTTTCCTTATGGATGCTCTGGGTCTTCGCTGCTGTGTGTGGGCTTTCTCTAGTTGTGGAGAGTGGGAGCTCCCCTCTAGTTGCAGTGTGCAGGCTTCTCAATGTGGTGGCTTCTCTTGTTGTGGAGCACAGGCTCTAGGGCATGCAGGCTTCAGCAGATACTGCGCAAGGACTCAGTAGTTGCAGCTCAAGGGCTATAGAGCGCAGGCTCAGGAGTTATGGGGCACACCGGGCTTAATTGCCCCCCAGCATATGAGATCCACCCGGACCAGGGATGAACCAGTGTCCCCTGCATTGAAAAGCAGATTCTTAACCACTGGACCTTAGAGAAGCCAGAGGACAACTCTTGAGATGATAGGGACAGTATCACAAATCCAGAACTCTTGCTGTCTTTATGTACCTGTAGATCTCACTGGTTCTCAGTGACATCACGGTCACCCAGGGAGCTTCTAAAACTCACAGTGCCTGGGCAGCATCCTTTTCCCATTAAAATGAGAATTTCTGGGGTGGGGCATGGGTGATTCCAACCAATGGCAGAGGCCTCTATTGGAGGCTGGCCCCTGAAAAGGACATGGATGCAGCTGTGGGCACTTCTCAGGTGGCAAGCACCTCTGGAGCCCTTTCTGAACTGCTGCTTCTAAATTCAGCTCCCCAAGATCCACAGCCCTGTTCAGGGAGGGTGGCTCTGACCTCTTCTCTTCTTTCCTTCGTTCCTCAGGGCCGAGGCCTGGAGGCAAGCAGGACTCACGCCGGCTCGCCTTCCAATGGAGGCTTTCGTTTTGTCTCCCCGCTCTTCACAGGAACAGGTACCTTCTTGTCCATGTGGCTGAAAGACTCCTTTCAAAGCCGATTGGCCTTTCACACAGTTTGGATGGCCCTCCGTGTTCCCTGGAAGTTCCCCAGGCCTGACTGTCTCATTTACAGTTTCTGCCCAGGTCAGCATCCTTTCTCAGGAGGGTCTGCCAGAACCGCACTGGTCTTCTAACAGAGTGAAGGGTCCACTCTGAGAACCCCCTGTGCTGGAAAGAAAACAGGCCAGCACCCAGCTCTGGGCCAGAGGTCCAGGCTGGGGGGCCTGGTGGGTCGTGGCACGGATGCAGGATCCCTTCGAGGAGAATGTGTTATTCACTGCTGATCTTCCGTGTTCCACTGATGGGGCAATTTTTTCAGGTCAGGGTCCTCCTGGCCAGAGAGGGTGGTGCAGGGACACGGTGTCTGGCAGCTCACAGACGCTTCGCTACACCCGCTCCCATCCAGCAGCTGGGGACGGGGACACAGGAGGCGTCCAGCACAGACAGTCTGCCACTGCTGCCCAGGACAAGAGTAACGTGTCTGTGTCTCTAGAAAGCCTTTCACTCTGACTGGGCTGTGCAGGCCCCCTGGAAGCCCCATCAGAGATGGCCTACTTAGCTAGCAGGGCCTGGCTGGCTGCCAGGTAAGCAAAGGCTTCTAACAAGCTGTGGTCTCCACAGACTCACCTGAGATGCTAAACATCTTCGCTCCAAGGACACCTTCCCTGTCTGTACCCAGGCCTGTGTGCTCACTCCAGGCCCCTCCTCCCTCCCACTCTCCTTCTCTCTCTTGGCAAAGATTTGCAGGCCAAACTGGGAGATAAAGGCCTCAGATGTTCAATGTGCTAAACTTTATGACTGTTTTGAACAGAAATGGGAATCTTCCTGTGGATGAATCTGGTGACCCAAACAGCAAAGCCAAAGCAGTTTTAAATCTTGAGCTTGGCCACTGTAATTGCTGAAGTTTATTTAGCCTGTATGTCGGTCCTGCATTTTGCACATTAAAGTCTCCCAATTCACTAACAGGTACTATTATTTCTCGTGCCCATTTTACAGATGAGGAAGTTGAGGTCCTGACATGGCAAACATTGACCTGAGTTAAGAGCCTACCTGTTTCATCATTGTGTTCTTCTGTGTAATCTCCAGCATCTACCACACTAAGACCAGTCACAATGCCTAAGAAAGTCATCAGAGCCTGGTTCCCTGGGTGATGGACAGGGAGCAGGGCCTCTAGATCAGGAGACTGAGGAAGAGCTGCCTTGGCCATGGTCTTCTTAACCTGTTGGATGAAAATTACCTGGTGGACAGAGCCCTGGTTTGGATCAGAGGTAGGATATATAGACCCAGTCCTTTGAGGCCTGACACTTGAGGCATGTCCAAGATGGGGTGGCCCAATTTCTGTTCAAATCTGACATAGGTTGGGGAGAGGAAGAGCATTGGAGGGGATGTCAGGTGAAGCAGAGCAGAGATGCTCCCACTCAGATCCTTCAAAAGGGAAAAGCTCGTGAATTGGTTAATTGCATTTAGGAAAAGCATTTAACAGCGTCTTTCTCTTACCATTCTTCTATATCTTCTTATCCCATTTCCACTCACTGCTATGTGACTTTGGGCAATTTCTATTCCTCAGTTTTTTCATCTGTAAAATGGAGATAATAACAGTCCCCAGAGCTCTGACAGTGTTAGCTTGGAGCAGAAGTAAACCTCTTTTGAGACCTGAATAACTAGCAAGTTCTTTTTCCTCAGGAGATGCTGTGGTTAGATAAAAGAGCTTCTTGACTGTAAGACACATGAGAATATTCTATAGAGAAAAGCAGTAGTAACTTCTTCCCTAGCGTATTGTCTGAACTGCTCTGACTGAGGTGAAAAACAATAATAAACATTGTTTGAGTACCTCCTGGGCACTTTCAAGAGAGTCACTTCATTCAGTCCTTACGTCAGCTCTCAAAGGTACTTCCTTTTCCAGAGGAGGATGACAGGGCTCAGAAGTTAAGTACCTTGCCCTTGATTTCATCCGAGCCTCCATGCCATAGCCTCCACCAGCGACAGAAGATGGACTGACCGTATGACCTTCGGAAAAACCTTGTAGCCCAAGGAGTCTCACTTGGGCTTGCTCGAGCCATCCGCCAAACGAAGATCAGAAAATCATCGTGCGAAGAGTTTCTTTTCTCTCGCAGTAATAAATTCTCCGGACATTAGCGGGAGCTGGGGGCCGGGCAGCTCAGGACGCTGACTGACAGCTCTCGAGCAGAGCTGGCGGAGGACAGAGCGGGAATGGCATCCGAGTGCACGGCCATGGGCAGGGTGATTGCTGGGCTCCCGAGAGAACAGGCGGTCCGTGAGGCTTTGACTCACACTTTGTAAATTGGTTTCATGCATGGGCTATCAATAGGGGCCTGGTTAGATAATAGGATTTTCCAGCACACTTCTTCCCCCCCTCTCCTCTGCAGCCTTCCAAATCTCCGTGCAGAGCACCTGGAGGGGATGTGATGTGCTTGGCAGGGCACGCCCGGGGTCAGGCTCTGCAGCTCTGGCCCAGGTGACGCGGATCTAAGAGGCCATGGTTCAGAGCAGCCTCGGAGAGAGGCTTATGTGCTTCATAATTGGGGGTTGGAGGCAGCGTCTCAGGCAGCCCCTGCCTGGCAGGCTATGAATTTAGGCGCTGTCAGCCACACCTGTCCGTTGTTGGGGAGGGGGGTCCTCAGAAGTGCCCATGGGCCACAGTGACTGCTTGTGGCTTGGCTGAATGGTTCCACCAGCCTGGACTGCCCACTGTCAGTCTCTGCCATGTACAGTCTGATTCCTGACTGATCAGAATCCAGAAACCCAAGCATCCCAAATGTAACCATTCCCTAGAGGCAGAGTCTGGGGAATGTGGATTACTGGGCATGCGCTCTCAGGAGAGATCAGGTGAGGGAACAAAGCCGGGATGCGGTCTGGGCTGAGGCCAGCTTCAGCCTGGTCCCCCTGGGAGCCCAGGACCATCGTGAAGTCAGACTCACTTTGCGGCAGGGGGACTGGTCTTTTGTGCGCTTATGTCTATCAGTGATTGACCGTTGGCTTAAGGCAAGGGGACTCGCGCTGGTGACTGCCCTCTGGGGTCGTGTGAAGTCACATCATGTCCAACTCTGCAACCCCATGGACTGTAGCCCACCAGGCTCCCCTGTCCATGGGTTTCTCCAGGCAAGAATACTCGAGCAGGTTGCCATGCCCTCCTCCAGGTGATCTTCCCAACCCACAGATTAAACCCTCGTCTCTTGCATCTCCTGCATTGTCAGTGGGTACTTTACCACTAGCACCACCAGGGAAGCCTCTGTCTGGGGTCAGGTGGCTTCTATTCAGCTGAGACTACCTCTCTGGAGAACAGGGGTGGGAAGGAGCTTTAGTGGCAAATAGTCACAGCAGCCGGGGGATGGGTGCGCTGGACCAGCCATGGGGGATCTGGGCAGAGCACCAAGAGCATCACTGCCCCGTCCCCATGGGATACAGCCAGGACACAGCTCAGCCAGAGCCTCAACAAGAGCCAGCCTGGTGACTCTGATTTCTAGACGGCCAGAGAACTGAGGAGTCAGACGGCACTGCCATGAGCAATGTCTGCGACAGCCTAGCCATCACCCCCAACACCCAGCCTCTGAAACTACAAAGGCACAGTTCATGCATTTGCCTTCTTATCTCTTGCCAGCAGGGACAGAGTTCTGCAGATTCCATCAAGGGCAGTGCTGGGAGCTTCTCCCAGGCTCCCTGAATCCAGGGCCATCCCGGTCTGCACACAGGACACCTACCAGAGCTGTTCTGTGATGATCTGAAGCCTCCTCCCCTGGAGCCTTTAATATAAGTTTGCTGCCGAAACACAAATATCCGCCTCCGATGCGGAAGAGAGATTAAATTAGGAACAATCTTAATTCTTTCTGGCAGAGGGAAGCGAGCGAGAGCTGTCAGTTCCCCAATGATGTATTGTTAAGGAAATCCAGGTTTAAAGGTATTTCATAAGTTTGCCTTTGCCTGCTAATAAAGAGAGTCAGCTAACGGAATCCGATCACCGGGTGAGACCATAATGAGATAATATGGTGTACTCCACAGAGACCCAGCCGGCTCCTTGAAATTCCCCCGAGAGACTTTCTGAAGTGCCACATTGTGACGAGCAGAGGAGAGTAAGAGGGAAAGAGAGAAGGGAAAATGGGCATAATTAGCCAAGCAGATTAGGCGATTCAACAAAGATCATGCAGTCTCAGCAGGCAGAGGAGCTGCGGTATTTATCAACATACCTCGCCTTTGCCTCTCGGTCTTCAGGCCTTTCTGTTTTCTCAGTGAGATAAACAAGCTCAGAGCCATCTTCCTGGAATATCCAGAGATTGAAAGTCTTATCGTGAGCAAATAAACAGATTTTCCTGGGGTCCTCAGCAGCTGGCTGGCAGTGGGTCTCCCCCAAGCCCACAGGTCTTGGGGAAAGGGACTGTGTTCAAAAGAAGCCTTGGCCCAGGACTCAGATCACTCTGGTGGGTATCCAGCTTCGGGGTCAGGGGTCCAGGCTGGTTACCAGCTATGTGCTCGGTACTCGGGTGGGTTGCAGTGGGACTTAAGATCCACTTTGATGGTATTTGGCCCCCGCCCTGATTGTTCCAAGGCTGTGCTGGTTATTTGGGCTATGATCTGGGGAGGCCTTGGGATTCCCAGGTGGCACTAGTGGTAAAGAACCCGCCTGCCCATGCAGGAGACATAAGAGACGCTGGTTCAATCCCTGGGTCGGGAAGATCCCCTGGAGGAGGGCATGGCAGCCCATTCCAGTTTTCTTGCATGGAGAATCTCATGGACAAGAGGAGCCTGGTGGGCTATAGTCCACAGGGTCACAGAGAGTCAGACACGACTGAAGTGACTGAGCACACACACACACACACACACACACACACGTGCTAGGGAGGGCTCATGCTGTGCATGCACGCACCTGTGTGAGAAACCTGTCTGGGTGCACACAGTCAACCTGTTTGATAAACCAGAAAAGAAGACCCCACCACCACCAC